TAGGAGCCATTCAAGTAATACATAATTTTGCCTTTTTTCGATACTTTCCCTACACTGTGAACCACAATAACCGCGAGGTTTGAAGTCTCCCCACATCCAATTTTTTTTTCTTATTAAGAAGTAACATAGTATATAAATTAAGTAAAGGTATTAAGAACCTCCATAGGAATGGCTAGAATTTTTTACACATCTAAACTTTAGATACAAAAGGGAGGGGCGGTACATCGCTAACTCTATTGAAGTTCATATATTTTACATAATTTCATGAAGAAACCTAATTTTTATTCTGCACTTGTTTACTCCCCTAATATAAAGGCATTAAAAAAGTGTTAAAACATTTCTATAACAGATTACATAGGAAAAGAATGTAGGTATAAAAACAACAACAACAAAATGCATTTAATGTGAAAAATATCTTGACTAAGCTTTGAAATACAAAAATAGCATTATATTTTATCAACACTCAATTAAAAGTATCTTTCATGCTATTAAAATACTTTGAAAATAATTTTGACTTAGTTGCGGATCAACAATATATTAAATTGAAAAGTGAACTTGTTAACTATTTATTAAATGTTGAAAATTCCACAACACTTGACTTTAATCGTCTAGCATAGTCTGGGTGGCTTTGTCGTCTTTTATATCTAATCCATGTCTTTTTAAACTCATGATGAACAGATTCACCTGCTTGTTCAGAATAAATTCCAAGTCCATTATCAGTATTAGTACTTTTTAGAAATGGTACAATATGGTTAACTGCAATATGAACTTTCCACGGTATATTCAAAGAAATGTTTTCAAAGTAAGTATTAATATATTCCATTAAATTAGCATCTTGAATTCAAAAACAACCGATTCAATATCACCAATAATTTTTTCTCCAAAAGTTGCTTGCTTCATTGCTTGAAACTTTCTTAAACATTCAATTGCTGGTAGTAAATCAAGCTTTCATTGATCAGCAATATCACGAGAAAGAACATCTAACTTATCTAAAAGTCTGTTGGCATTGTTGCTATCAAATCCAACGCCATGGTAACCTCTGAAAAATATGTAATTTGAGTTTTACCACTTTTCAAAGCCAGGCCATAGTTTTGATAATAGTTTTCCAAACGTTGAAACTATTCCGATTAATGTGTGCAACTCAGGTACTGGAACTAATTTTTCAATAATTGTGTCTGAATCCTCTTCAAGATATAATAATCTTGGATTAATAACATTTTTATAATCAGCCATCTTTGATTTTGGTTTTCCAGCTTCTGTGTATTTACTGTAATGATAATCGAGGGAACCGAGAGTTCGTTTTTCTCCACCATCCAAAAGACTCTCTCCTTCACACCACAAACAACTATATTTTCCAGCATGGCTTGTAATGCCAAACATCGAGTTTGCACACTTTAAATCAAATGCAACAGAATACTTTTTATTTTGAAGATTAAGAGTATCAACTAATTTTCTAAGATTTCCATTGTGTTCAGACACTCCTTCTACAATAGCAACAATAAAACAACGCTTAACTCCAGCATCATCAAGGTCAGGTTGGTTGCTAGTTTTATCATGCGGATTAAAAACATTCATAGTGGCCTTTAAAAAACCTTGACCAGAATCCACAGCAACTCTTGCAATTGTAGAAAGAGGGTCAATATTCCTTTCAGTGATTATATCATGTATAAATTCATCAATATCTTTAATATAAACCATCGATTTATTTACTATATCGCCAGCTTCAAAAAATTCTTCTTCTTTACATGAAAAATATTCATTTATTTTTTCTTTTAAAGCCTCTAATTTTTTAACAATATTTCCTTCAATGCTACTTTGAAAGCAAAGACTTTTTCTAAATATAGAACACATTTTTTTGGTTTTATGCTGAGATAGTTCTAAACATTTTATAAGCTCAATGAATGTTCCAAAAGATACTTGACTAAAATTAACACGGTCACATTTATTGTCAGTAGTTCCGGCAACAATAGTCAATGGTTTCCCATGAGTAGCAATTGTGAACTTTTCACCTCTACAAATATTTTCCTTTTCCATTTTTGTTTTTAAAATACTTGAAGCGACACGTTCTGCACTTGCTGATCCCAATGCATATGCTGAATTAACTAAACTTTTCACAGCTTGAACATCACTACAAAGATGAATAATGCCTGACTTAACTACTCCAGAACATTTTAAGCACATTCTTTCATTTTTATCTTCATTTAACTCAGAAGTAATAATATTAATATCTTTTGATATTTCTGAAACATCAGAAGTTCTTCTGATATCTTGACGGTTTAAACTAGTAATATAAAAAATATAACACATTAAAAATAAACACACCGATGACATATTACTTCCTAAAACAAACTGTTTAAATGGTTTTTTTTTCAAGTTAATGAAGGTTCATTGAGACAAAGCTTTTTCTTTTTTAAAAATTAATAAAAATAAAACAAATTTACTTAATTAAACACTAAGTCTTAAATATAGTTTTTTATTAATTTTATAAACTAACCTGGGAAATTTGCTTTAGCCACTTATCAAGGTATTTTGTATCGTTTTTTTCCAAACAATAAAGGTTTTTATAACAATTGCTACAAATAACTTTAGAATGGTTCACTAAATTTTGATCATAGCTATCCCAAATAAAAGTTTTTATTTTTTCTTCGATTGCTTTAGATATTTTATGAAGCTTTGCTGACTTTTTACCAAAGATTTTAAAACAAACAGCACACAAATTGTTGACCGCCATTTAATAAAATTCAAGTCGTTGTGCTCTAGAGTAGCATGTCCACACGATTTTTTTATAATTTAAATATTTATATATAATTAATGCCATTGTATAGAGCTTAGTTTGACTTAAAAAATGAGGGGTCATTTGACCTTTGAAGTTAAGCGGATCAAAAGTTATTAAACTTTTTGTAGTGAAAAAACGGGTGATTTTTTGACAAAAACTATAGGGCTTAAGTATCGGAAATTTGCGGCGAAATGGCACCGAAAATAATAGTATTATTGACATTTGAATAAATTTTGAACCGATAATACATTTGACTTGAAATTTTCCATAGTGATCAATCAACTATAAGAAAGTAAAAATCCAAAAAAAAATTTTTTAAAATCTGTGGGGATTGACCAGAACCATCTATTTTACAGACCGCGGGTTTTTACTATTCTACATGTTTTTGGGGTCATACTGACTTTTGAATAACTTTTGAACCGATAATACATTCAACTTGAAATTTTCCATAGTGACCAACCAATTATAAGGAAATAAAATGCCAAATTTTTTTTTTTAAATCTGTCAGGATTGACCAGAATCATCTATTTTACAGACCAAGGATTTTTACTAATTTATATATTTTTGCGGTCAAACTGACTTTTGAATAACTTTTAAATCGTAATTACTTTTGACTTAAAAGTTTTCATAGTGATCAAATAACTATAAGAAAATAAAAAACCAAAATTTAAATTTAAAAAATGTGTCCCTATTGTCCAGAATCATCTAGTTTACAGCCTTAAGGGTTTTATATTATTTTCTTATTTTTGAGAATAAATATTTGGGTCATATTATAATTATACCATGCGAATATGCATAAAGGAATCATGAAATCCAAAAAATACATAATTTAAAAACTATTGCATAATTTACAGACTGCTCAATGAATACTCACATAAATTACTGTTCGGTCAGTAAATTACTGAAAATGGGCTGTGCAAACAATTTAAACATATCAACTTTAAATAATTTGTAATTTTTTTTTTAATTTTTGATATTTTTGCACCATTATTACATTTGATATGAATTTTTAAATAGTGATCCAGTTTTTATGAAATCTGTCGGGATTATCCAGAGTTGTTTATTTTACAGACTGAAAGGTTTCTACTTATTTAATTGTGTTATAAGAAAAAAAATTAGGGTTGCACTATGCAAATATGCATAAAAGAATCATGGAATCCAAAAAATACATCATTTGAAAACTATTGCTTAATTTACAGACCTGTCAGTAAATATATTGCATAAATTACAGACCGGTCAGTAAATTACAGAAAAATAGATGTACATACCAATTAAGGATATTGACCTTGAATATGTTTGATATTTTTGAACTGTTATTACATTTGACTTGAAATTTTAAATAGTAATCCCGTTTTTATTAAATCTACTGAGATCACACTGAATCATTTATTTTACAGACTGAAGTGTTTTTACTTATTTAATTATGTAATGAACAACAAAAATTAAGGTTACTATATGCAAATATGCATAAAGGAATCATGGAATCTGTAAAATACATCAATTTGAACTTATTGCATAATTTACATACCGGTCAGTAAAATACTACAAAAGGGTCGCACCAACCTATCGGACAAATCAATATTGCACAAACCTATTTGACTTTAAATATATTTGATAATTTCCAACTGTTATTACATTTGACTTGAAATTTTTGATAGGGATGCAAAACTATAATAAAATTAAATGCCATAATATTTTTGCATCTGTCAAAATTATTTTTTTTTATAAATAATTTTATATTAAATAGTGTTTTTACTTATTTACCTAGTATTTTAGAAAAAATTTGGGTTATATTATAAAAACTCCATGTAAATATGCATAAAGAATCGTGGAATCCAATTAACTCATCTGTTTAAAACTATTGCTTAATTTACAAACCGATTAGTAAATTAGTACGGGCATTGAAATATATTTAAATCATTCAGAATTACCTATTTAACAAACAGAAGATTTTTTAATAAAGTTAAAATTTAAATTGGAATGAAAATAACTTACAGCAATAGAACTTCCTAAAATTTTGAGTACTTACAACAGCAATAGCAGGTGTAAAAGGAGAAACTCAACCTAAAATTGTAATAAAATTATTATTAAAACACACAGATAAATTGGTTTTAAAAATAAAAAATAATTATAAATTAACAATTAAAACTAAATAAATATAGAATAAGAAACTTACTCTTTGAGATTGTTTATGTGAACTATTAACAACAACTAAGATAAAAAAGTGAAAACAACATTAAAACAAAAAATGGTGTTATTCTAAATCTTATCTCTTGGCTTTTAGTGAATGATTAGAGGTAGAGAGTTTAAGTAACAAAACAACCTAATAATCATTTTTAACGATAGACACCAGCGAGAAGGTAAGCCAAGTTGTCTATCAACACAAAACATCACAATAACATCACAATCACAAAAAACACAGAACCTGTGGCACTAAACGCTGTAAATTCATGCTAGTGTCAATACTTAACTAACAAGGTGAACTTCTATCCTCAGCCATTTACCATTTCTAACCAACATTAATGGTCATCCTGAAAAACTCAAAGTTGGCTCTATTTGTTGATGATATAAGAAACATATGGATTTCAATCATCTGTTTTTGGACCTGTAATTGTTGTTACAGAAAGGTTTGATATTAACATTATATAGAAGCGGTGATGCACATTCTATTGCTCTGGATGATATGGTGTATCTGGCAAAGTTTTAAAAAAGTATTTGCAATCTTGTTAATATTCCTATATTCAATATATTAATAATATTGAATACAATAATATATTATTTTATTGTTCCTAAGTGCTCAAAAAATTCTTATTTGTATAGTTTTTTTCCTCAAACATCAGTTTTTTGTGATACTCTCCATTCATCTTGCTTTTCCTGATTCATATAATTTGCAATCTTTTAAGTCATCTGTTAATCGTTATCTTGCTTTATAATCTTCAACTTGGGTTTTCTAGTAACTTCCTAAAAATGATTTTTTAGGAAGTTACTGGAATGTTACTATACTTCATATTGGGTCTTCCAGTAACTCTAAAAATGGCTGCTTCAAGCCTTGTTGAAAATACAGATACTTAAAATAAAAAATAATCTCGCTTGATTTAACAAAGTTGATGATTTGCTATCTTCTGTTAATTGATCTATCCTTACTTCTAGCCAAACATCTTCTGAAACAAATTCTAGTAAATTTGTTCCAGAAGATATTTCTGCTTCTTTAAGTTTATTTTCTGATTTAAACTTGAAAACTGCTAATGATGTTTTTTCAAGCTCTGCTACTCAAAGTTCTATTGTAGACAAGCCTTTAAAAAGTCATTCTAATGATTGTTTTCTTGAAACTCAAGTAAATAAAGAGAATTTCCCAGTTTCCAATTTCGATCAATAACTACCTTTATTATCTGGTGATTTGACCTGTCAAATAAACAAATACAAAAAGAGAATTAAGCACCTTGAATTTCAAAATAGACAAGATGTAATGAATATAAAAAAACAAGCAAAGGGATTTTATCAAAACATAATGTCCAAAAAGTTAAAAAAAAAGAGATGTTAGAAAGGATTGTAAGATTAACCAATTGTTGCAACTAAATTTAAATTTGGAAAAATAACTTGGTTTGACTAGAAAGCGTTCCCAATCAGATCAACAAAAAACATGGTAAATAAAAACAATTTTGAAAGCACTGTTTTGAAAACAACTTATGATACGAATGATTCAATCTTACAGGAAAGTTTGAATTACTTTGAAAATCTTATAGAAAAGCTTAAGGAAAGACTTGACGATTTTGAAAACAATGTAATTGATGTTTTAGAAGGAGGTAGATATAATGAGGAAACTTGCTCTGTCAAAGAAGACCTCTTAAGTAGAAATGTTTCTGTCAATAATGTTAAATCTGGTATCAGAACTGTACTACAAAAAGTGGCTGGAATCTTAAGAGTCACATTTCCCAAAAAATCTTTAGCTGTTGAATTTTTTAGTGAAATAAACATTCTATCAAAGGCTTAAGTTAGAGATGTTAGATATTTTGCACAATGTTCTTTATGCAGATGGCACAAAGTACAATTTTAAGGAGGTTGTTAGTTTTTCAATTACAACATCATTTGATTCACATTAGGGTTTGAAGATATGCTTCGGTCGAGGAACAAATTCACTAGAATTTGTTCCAGAAGATGTTTTGCCAGAATTTAGGATAGAGCAATTAACCGAAGGAAACAAATCATCACCAACAGGAAATTCAGGACTAAATGAGAGTTCAGAGCTTAAATAAAAATTCTTCAAATTAAAATTTTTTGCACGATTTAATTTTTCAACATAATCTTTTGACTTTTTGAAAAACTTGATAAGTATTACCTTTGATATATAGCATTTAGAGGAGGTTGAAAAAAATGTGGACAAATTTGGCCAAGTTAAGTTGTTTTTATTTTTTTCTTTGCAAATTTGCAAAAAATGTCCATTGCTCAAAAAAAAATCAGGTTGTTTGAGAGACACTATACTGCCATTAATATTTAGGTATTCCAAAATATTCTTGTATGTAGGAAAGGCTGTTTCCGATGACATTATGGAAGCTGTAATTGAAAATAAACTTAATTCTAATTGTACAAAATGTATTAAACGTTGCTTTCAATAAAAAAAGATATTATAATGCAAAATATTTGTTCTACTTTGTTCCAAATTTTAAAATGTACTAGTAACAAAGTATCACTTACTATCTTGGTTTATAGATGGAATCAACATTTCATGAACACTTTTGTCAGTTTGAAAACCTAAAAGAACAGAGTTTATATAATAATGATCATTAGTAGAATTCACAGTTTTTTTTCTATGAAAATAAAAAATTTGAAATTATATTAAATAAAAAGGGCACAACCACCTTTTGGAGATGTTGACCTTTTGGAGTCAGGTAAGTTGTCTAAAGTTAAACAGTAACATAGCATACAATTATGCTTACATACAGCATATCCAGGAATATAGAAGTAGACCTTAATAAATCAATATGGTACTGATACTTATTAAATAAATTCTCATTTCCATTTTTGTGAACTTTTGTTGATTATTCATAGGTTTTTGTTTTGAAAAAAACAGTTTAAAGAATCTATAGTTAATAGACAAACAATCAGCTTGTAATTTTGTGGAAGAATCCAAACAAAATACCTTTAAAAAACAAAATAAAATATTTTTAACAGCTTGAAATCTAAAGAGTTTCACTTTCACTTTCAATATCATTCTCAGAATGAAGATTTTATTCTATTTTGAAAAAAAAAAATGATGGAAGGAACAAAAGCAAGAGTTTTATGCTATATAAAGCAGTTATGTCATATTTTTAGAAAATTATTATTTTTATTTAACTACTTCTTAAGTGTATAAATAAGCTTTAGATTAGAAAGTGAAAAGTAAACATCAAAATTACATTAACAAAGTGCGATTACCAAAAAAATATTATAAACAAAAACATACGCAAAAATCATAACAAAAAACGGCGAATTGAAAAAAAGCTAAATATATATAATTTTTAAATACATTTCCTAAGTATCAAATCATTAAGAAATCATAAATAAATACTTGATTTAGATAGAAGAAAGGCTATACTTGTCTTTTCCACCTGGACCTTTTTGAAAAAAGGTTTTTTTTTCCAAAAAAAACTAACAACAAACTTTTACAACACTGAAAACTAAACAAATAAGAGCAAATATCAAAAAGGTCCACATTCCATTACATTCCTCGTCCTTTTTTTAATCTATATGGAAAATTTCATGCAAATTGGATGTGTTTTGGTACTTAGGAATCCTTACCTGAAAAAGCTTCGTTTAAAAAAACGTTCCCGCGGCTAGTTTTTTTAACAAAAGTGGTCTCAGGATATTGATATTATTTAAGTGAAGCCAAATAAAGCACAGTACTTTCTATATATGGCTGGAAAGAGGTCGAGTAACACTAATTGATACAAAAAACCTCAAGGTGATTGCTTAACCCTACAAAAAGATATAAGAGAGTAAAGTTTATGAAAAATCGGCGTTTTTCGTCAAACGTCAAATGTTTTTCGCTGAGCCGTGGAAACGCTATCTAGAGTATATTTAACATCAAAAACGCCGGTCTTTGATTATCAAATTATAGCTATTTTGTTGAAAATGGCGGATATTTTTAACTAAAAATTATACTTTTTATTTTTTTGTTTTTCATACATTTTTCCATTCCCCTAGAGGTTTTTACAAACCAAATATTTATTTTCATATATACAACTAAGTATTTATAAAAAAAAATCTGATGTGGGGAGACTTCAAACCTGGCGGTCAATGTGGTTCATAGTGCAATTGTCGATTTTGAAAAAAACAACAACACGTAAATAGAATATGCTACAATACAAAAGAAAATTTGTGAAATAAAAAATGCAAAGGTTTGAAAAGAAGAAAATAAAATTCAATTTTACTTAAAATTAAACGTTGGGTAAAAATATTCCTCCATATTTTATTTGAGACATTATTTAAAACTGACAGTTCGTCGCGTTGGTTTGACAACTGTTTTTTTTTAATATAAGGAGAATAGCAAATAAATCTTTTTTTTTTTTTTTAATGTTTAAATAAAAAATATTATTATGATTATTTTTTGTTTACTTATGTATTTTTATACATCATCTAAAACATCTAAAAAATGAATACATAAACAAATAAAATAACAATAATATAAATAGTTTTTATTAAACATTAGAAAAAGTTAAAAGATTTTTCTCTAAATTCTCCTAATAAAAAAAATTTCAGTTAAAACCCGCGAGAAATCAACGTAATATTTACTTAAAACACAATAAATAAACGTAATTAGGTCAAATATATTTTCTATTTTGACGATCGGAAAATCACTCTTTCACGCAATAACAAAGTTCTGCTTACTTAAACTTTGTTTTTATTTAAATTTTTATTATAGAGCTAAATATCTAAGGGATCAGATCGCTTTTAAGTTTTCAGTATTTTAACAAAGAAACAAACGAGTAAACTTTTTAAAAGCAGAATACTGAAATGAGTAATAACAATTGTGTAGAAAAAGATGTCGAAATTAAAGAAGCCGTTTGTAACATGTATGGAAATGTCGCTGAAGCTAATACAGCAGGTAAAAGTTATGGTAACGTTGCAAGTTGCTGTGGTGCACCGGCTGAAACTGACATAGATTATTCACTTCAGTTAGGATACTCTAAAGAAGAAGCTACAAGCGTTCCAACAGGAGCAAATATGGGTCTAGGTTGTGGCAACCCTACTGCAATAGCTAATTTAAAAGTAGGTGATTTTGTTCTTGATTTAGGAAGTGGTGGAGGATTTGATTGTTTTTTAGCAGCCAAAAAGGTGGGTAGCTCAGGTCACGTTATCGGAATAGATATGACTCCAGCAATGATAAGCAAATCTCGTCTTAATGCTAAAAAAGGAGGGTATTCAAATGTAGAATTTCGCTTGGGTGAGATTGAATATTTGCCTGTTGCAAATGCTACCATTGATGTAGTTATCTCAAATTGTGTTGTAAACTTATCCACCGATAAACTTCGCGTTTTTCAAGAAGTTGCAAGAGTATTAAAGCCTGGTGGTAGATTAGTTATTTCAGACACA